CACGCAGCTTGGTAGTTGTGCTTTCAGATCTAAGGACTCCATGATGCGGGATTACATAATGTGTCTTCTGAGATTCGAAATTAGATGCCAATTGCATATGATTCAAATCTATGTACTCCCTCATGAATTGTACGTACATCTCCTTCAACAACGGGTTGCGGCTCAACCTACCATTTGAAAGTAAGTCAAAAAACTCTTGTGTGCTGATGAGTAGGTCAATTCGGTGAGGCATGTAGAAGCCTGGATCTGCAAGGTCAATCTCTGAGGGTATGTTCCATTGTGAAGTATCAACGAATCGCTCTGGCTGATTAAGCGATATTGTCTTGGCTACAGCGAATTGTAAATGCCATTCATTTACAGACAATCGTGATCGAATAGTTGTTGAGACCGAGAATCTCATCTGCGTTCTGACATCGCCTATGCCAGAAATGTCATACTTCTGTCTCTCGAATCTGAGCTGAAGGAGCTTGGCCAACTCTTCAGAGATGAAATTTATTTCAGAAATGGCTGAAATATTCCGAACTTATCCCTAATCAATACTATTGCTGTAGGAATTAAAGCGCGCCTCGAATGACGCGAAAGCATGGAAACAGCATGTGTGGGTTCCCGCTGCTGCTGAGATGTGTTGGAAACAATTTGTGTTGGTTGCTCTGGATGAGCAGATCTATGCAGAATAGTATGATGTAACCCTTGACAAACGCGGCATCGAGATCTATGTGGACATCTGCTCGCCAAATGGCCGGTGCGCAAACAATTTATGCACAGAGCGGATTGCTTAACGAAATTCAATTTATCCTGCCAGTCTAGTAAACCAAATGAAGGGCACTGAGTGAGAGAGTGATCAGTAGCAGAACATTTTTTACAACCACCCTGTGCCGTAACAAAGGCTCTTCTATTCTGCGTGGGCCTTTCCTTTGGCTTCTCATCAGATGTTCGTTTAACGTTGCTCTCCAAAAATCGACAATGACGGCTTAAACTGCGATAACAATCCTCCCAAGTAGGCAACACCTCGTATTCTTGACACCGATCGTACGATAATTTCGAATCTGCATCAATTTTAGATAAAACAAGATGAATTAATATTGCGTTCATTACATCTGCTTCTGTTCCTAACGACAACAACGATTCACGCAGCGCGGAGACGGTATCCAAGATACAGCGAAAAGCTGCGGGATCAGATCTTTTCATAATTTGAATGTCGAATAAGCTCTGTGAAAATCAAAACCTTTTTATCGTAGCGCTCCTTTAACTGCTTTAACGCCTTTGGATAATTGACTTCGGACACTTGAAAGGGGGCCACAACACTCAGCGCGGGTCCAGACAAACAGCTAAGCAAGTAGTTAAATTTGTCAACAGCTGATATAGAAGCGTCATCATATACCATGCTAGTAAATGCAGTAATAAACTTCATGTAGTCACCATACTTCCCGTCGAACTTAGGCCCACTGGTGGGTCGCGGGTAGATTTTTGGTGGGTACTAATTGCCATATAGATCTTGCAATTTTTGTGTAGATGGGTCGCGGTCCCGACAAGTTTGGGAAACAGATAGATCTTTTGATAAACTGTGTCTGTAACTGAACTCGAGGTCATTGACTTAGCATAGCTGTTTGCCTTACAGAAAAAATCACACGCCTTTTTGTTCTCTTTGGTTTCATCATCCGTAGCATCATCTGATAAGGGCTCGGGTTTCTTTAACCTCCCTCAATGACGTCCACGGCACCTTCGTGGTAGTCCAGCATATCTCTCAATTTTCTCCGCCAAATCGGCCAATCCGCTTCCCCAGCCAAGTGTTTGATGTGTTTCGCCAAATCCATCTTCAATAATGCTGCGTTGACGAGACTCCACACCAAGCGAAAGACTTTAACTACAACTGTGCGGAAGAAAAGCTTTTCCTCTTTTCGCGCACTATTGCCTTTACTATTTACTTGAGTTACTCGCGTAAACTGGTTCCATAACCTAATAAAGTTTTATTCGCTCAAGTTAAAACACCGTTTAAAGTAAATAGCAATTTATTCAGTAGGCTTGATAATTGAGGCGTCAGAAGAAGTGCCAGGATGGCCGGATCGGTAAAAGAAGTGTGCCCGGTGCTTAAAAGCAAACAAAAAACAAGAAAGGAAGCTAGCTTCGGCAAGCCGAAGCTTATATACCCTTGCAGTCTTAAAATTTGTCGAAAAAAATAAATAAAGTCTAAACAACATCGAAGCTAAGACGATTTTTCTATTCATTTGCCATATTTTCGACTATAGATCATATGGGAGCTATATGATATAGTTGTCCGATTTTGATCAAATTTAATTCGTAATTCAAGAGTCGTTACAAAACTTTATATTCCAAAAATCATGCTTATCTAATAAAAACCAACGATGTTATAATTTTATTTCCGTTATTTCTATATAGAATTTTCGATCTCTCCTATGGCAGCTATAAGATATAGTTGTCCGATTTTTATGAAACTTTTTTCTCAATATAAGGGTTGTTAAAAAACTTAATATTAAAAAAATCGTGCTCATGGGATAAAAAACAACGATGTTATTAATTTGTTTCCATTAATTCTATATATATTTTTCGATCTCTCCTATGGCAGCTATATGAAAGAGTTATCCGATTTTAATCAAATTTAATCCGAAATTCAATAACAGTAAGAAAACGCCATCTTGCAGAATTCAAGTCGATCTGATGAAAAACAACGGCGTGAGAATTTTTCATTTCATTCCCTCGTATGGGAGCTATCCGATATAGTCGGCCAATCCGGCCCGTTCCGACTTATATACTGCGTGCAATAACTACACACCTTTTGGGAAAGTTTCATCAAGATAGCTTTAAAACTGAGAGATTAGTTTGCACGGAAACGGACAGACGTACAGACGTATTCCGACTCTGCTCGTGATGCTGATCAAGAATATATATACTTTATGGGGTCTGAGGTGTCTCCTTCACTGCGTTGCAAACTTCTGACTGAAATTAATAATAATAGCACCATATGTTTAAATACATATGTAGTTTCTCAGTTTAAATTCAAATAATTAAACATTACTTTAACATTACATTGTTGGGATGTACTGGTATCTGTGTACGTGATGCCTGGATTGATATCTGAAACTGCCTTTGGTCTGAGTTCCGAAATGCGGGGTTATGTGGTCTGCTAGTGGCATACTTTGTCCTGAATTTCCGGTTTTCCAATTTTAGACTCAAGTGTACAAGTCTGTTGGCTCTTTTTCATACCCAGAAAGTCGTAGTAAGTCTCCACGTAGACCCCTTATAAAAGTATCTAATGTCGATCTGATGATTCTATCTCTATATTATTTGGTCATGGTTATTTCCGTCTGTTTGCATAAATTCATGCAACTAACTCTATTTAAAATGAGGGAGAGATGTTTATAAATGCACTGCTAAAAAGCTTCTACCATTTGTTGTCCGTTCTGCGTCATTCTGGTCAGTTGATATTCTAAAGTACTGAGGTCTCGTTTGTCCGCAAAATGAAGTGTTAGGCATCTAGCCCTTCCCAGTTTAAGGGCACATTATACGAATGTCTGGTTATCTTGCCGTGGATTGTCTGCAGGATACCGAAGTACTTAGGTGTTCCGTTTGTGTCTGCATATGCCTCTAGAATTCTGTTCACACTCTTTTTCTACGAGCTGAACTCGTCTAGTCCTGATCCAAAACAGAAACGTTAGCGCGATGCTCTGGATATATTGTACAGGCTGCAGCTTCAGAAAATTCCGTAGTTTTAATGTTAAGGTTCATTTGTTCGAGTAATGCTGTCAACCGCTGAGCTATCAATTGATCAATAAGTGTCTCGTCCGAATTGCCTTCGGCGTTTCTATTGTTTAAGGGGGGGGTAAGGTTTTAAAGGCCAAAAAAAGGGCCATGTTTGATTTTTTTTTGCGGCGAAATGAGTAAGTTTATTTTATTGAGCTTAATTACATGTTATTGTTTAACTTTTAAAGAGTATTAGAAAAAAAAATTATTAAAAAATTCTAAGAAATACGCCTGTGGCGGTTAATCTTCCGAAGCGCCCAAAGAAAAAGTTGTTTTGCGGTGAACATCGTAGGGCGTTAATGGATCATCTTAAAAATAAAATGTGATATGCGTTGTAAAGATAATGAATTTCCCGAGGTAATCAGGAAGAGTTTTTTTTAAATTTATTTTTTGTCTATTTTTGGGAGCACTTGAAAGTGAAAAGTGCAATTTTAGCTTAAAAAATCGCTGTTAATTTATTTTTTAAAAATAGAAAAAAATTAAAAATTAAAAAAAGCTCTTCCTGATTACCTGCGTATTTATGTTGAGAATTTGTGTTAAAAATTTGAAAAGGATCGGTTCAGTAGATTTTGAGTTCTGATGTTCACCGACTTTCAAAATAGCGTCTTTGGTAAAATCGATTCAAAGTATTTTTATACGTGAAAATACGTCCAAATACGGTTCTTTAAAACGCTGTAACTCCGTTAGTTTGACTTAAATTGACTCAAAATTTGTACACAATGTTCTCGACATATTGGTCATTAAGAAAAAAAATAAAAAAAAAAATGTAAAAAAAAAATTTTTAAAACCTTACCCCCCCTTAAAGGTCCTGCCTGCCTGTTTACAGCTTTATTTTTAATAAGCCTATAGAATCTTGCTATAATAAAAGAGAACGCTACAATTGAGATTATCGACAATTTCAATAGGCGTTACAACTTTTATATGTTTAATTTAATAGTTTTGAATATATCGAGGTTTAAGCCCGTAAAATGCGGACCAGTTATATATTTTTTTACAACCTTTTATACTAATACATTTTGTTTAATGTCCTTATTAAACAAATTTCTTTCTTAGGTTCCGAAAACTTTTTTGCAGTATCAACTTAGGCCGGTAGTCCAGTCGAAAACGTGTGTGTATTGGTAAATTGCCAAGTTCACTATTGAAATACTCATGAAGTCAACCGCAGCATAAAGTTCGACGCGCTGTACTATGGCGTTTCTTGTTTGTATATCTGTATACACTTTCCCAAAAAATAACATATATTTCAAAAAAAGAATATACATTTTATTGAGTATTAGGTCCCTCGATACCAATACAATATAATTTATCAATTGTTTCATAAACCTAGTTGTAATTAAGCTTTTTTAGTTGCAGAACTTGTAAAGGACAATTTTGTAAATAAATGCATTTTATTCAGCCTCATTTAACATTACTACCAACGATTTTGAACAAAAGTCTAAAATTACAAGTTTCGAACAGAGAAAACGTTCCAAATTAAACAGTTTTAAATCAGGTTATTAACGATACAAATAACCCCAGTAGTGTAACTTGTAGTGTTAATAGTTAAAAATTTCTGTTATAGCTGATAGGCATCTGTGTTTATCAGGCAAATAAAAGGGCTCAAAAACATGAGGAAATGGAGTATCCCAGCCGGTCACTCTCATAACGGGTGCTTCCAAGTTCAAAAAACACTTTTCTTGAATATATGATGCCAGTTCTGAGCCAAATCCTTGAGTTAGTGGAGCTTCATGCGCAATTATTACTCGTCCAGTTTTTTTTGCAGACTAAAATATTTGTAATAGTTATTATCCGAGGCAAGTTAAGATGTAATGGCAACAAAATTACTTACTGTACATATAGCATTAGTGTCCCATGGCAAAATAGAGACTAAATCTATAACTTCACAATCTATATTAAAGTATCTCTTTGCCAGTTCAGCAACCTATAAGACCAAATGTGTTTATAAATAAGCTTTAAATTTATAAAAATAGACGTACTTCTAAAAGCACATGTACTTGTGTTCCCCAGCCAATGAGTGTGACATCTTTTCCTTTCCGCAGTATGTCAGCTTTGCCGAGTTCCGATGTGTAGTATTTCGTTGGCACTTCCTCAACAGCTGCTCGATACAAAGTTTTGGGCTCAAAAACGATGCAAGGGTTTGGATCCCGAATGCATGCAAGGAGAAGACCTTTCGCTTTTATCGGTCCGCGGGGAACCTATTTTAATTTGTATGCTTAATAAAAAGTACAATTTCCAGCTTTTATTTCTTTGGCATTACTACAACGCGAAGACCTGGGGTGTGAGCGAAGTATGCTTCTGGACTTTGGGAATGGTAGAGTGCTCCGTGACCCACAGCACCACAAGGAACTCTAAAAGTTAATGATCCACAGTCGAAGAGGCCTCCGCTTCGGTATCGATATTTGGCTGCTTCATTAACTATCTGGTCAAAACTCGGAAATATGTAGTCCGCAAATTGAATTTCAGCTATTGCGGTAGCTCCAGTATTAGCCACACCAATTGCAAAACTGTTAAAAAAAAAAAAAAAACGGAGTTGACTTTACGTAAATATTTTATAAGAAAAACAAGAAAGGAAGCTAGCTTCGGCAAGCCGAAGCTTATATACCCTTGCAGTCATCAAATATGTGGAACTTAATACATAAAGGCTAAACAGCATCGAAGCTATGACGATTTTTCTATTAATTTCCCATATTTTCGACTATTGTTCATATGACGGCTATATGATATAGTCGTCCGATTTTGATAAAATTTGATTCTGTATTCAAGAGTCGTTAGGAAACTCTATATTCCAAAAATCATGATTGTCTGATGAATAACAACGATGTTATAATTTTATTTCCCTTATTTCTAAATAGATTTTTCAATTTTTCTATGGCCGTTTGTTATGTATTAAGTTAAATAATTCATATTAATGAATAGTCGATAGTTTTAGTTTGCGATAGTTATCGTTTTGAAAATACATCATACATACAACGTCAGAAGTCAAAAGGAATGGCTTCTACTAATTCAGAAAGGGCTACATCGACCTCAAATAATTATCTAACCGGGATCATTGAGTCGCTGGCTGATGCAATTCGCATAGCAGTGGCACAAGGTAGCCAAAATGCAGGAATTCCAGGAACTACAAAGATGCCGCAGTTTGCAATGCCAAGCTACAAGAGCGGAGAAGATTCTACAGTTTAAGATTACTTCAGTCGATTTGAGTGGGCACTACAACTCAGCAAGGTGCCAGAGGAGGAGCACCACAATGGGCTCAGAATTGAATACAGCCTTACGTATACTGATCAATCCAAAGTGTCCCGAAGAATTACAGTACAGGGAGATCAAGGAGGTGCTAAATAATCACTTTGATGGCAAACGAAACATATATGCAGAAAGTTTTAAATTTCGTCAACTTCGACAAGAGCCAGAGGAAACACTGGTCACGTTCGTACTTCGCTTAAAACAAGCAGGATCTTTTTGCGAATTTGGTTCGTTCCAGAATGCTTACAGGACAAATGCTTTTCGGAATGGAGGGTCGCAGTATATGTGATGAGTTGATCGCAAAAAAGACAGCTACTTTTGCAGAAGCATATGAGAACTACTTTTGAGGTGTGCAAACACGGTGAGCGAAAAGACAATAACAGAGGTAGAACCTACATGCAAATTGGGATGCATTGCGTGACGCCTACGCGAAAAAGATCGACAAGAAAATGTCTGCAGGATTCTATAAGAAGGTAGATTATTCCGAATGGGCTTCAAAAACACACGTAGTTACTAAAAAGACCGGGGGCATTCGAACAACTGGCAACTATAAACCTACTTTAAACTCCCAAATGATTATCGATGAACATCGTATACCACGAGCTGAAGATTTATTCAACCAGATGAAAGGAGCTCCAATATTCGCACAATTAGATATTACTGATGCATATTCACATTTACGAATTGACGACGAGTTCGCTCACACTCTTACACTGAATACTCTCGGGCTCATTCGACCAACGCGCGCTGTATTAATTTGATTGTATGCAGATTCTATTTCCTGAGACCAGTAGAATTTTCCTGTCTTCAAAACGTTGCGGAGCGGTCTTTCTAGTGTCAATAAGTTTGGAATGAAATTCGAATATTATGTTGCTTTTCCCAAAAACAACTGTAACTGCTCTATTGTTGCTGGTCTCGGTGCATGTATTATGGCTTCAATGTGTTTCGTTGATTTGTGTATTCCTTGTGCGTCGATCTTGTGGCCCAGAAATTCTATAGAAGATGCCGCAAATATACATTTGATTTATTTAGTTTTAATCCGAAATTCTTCAGCTTTTCTACAGTCCTCTCTAACGTTTTTAGCAATTCTTCCATATTTCCAGCGCATATAAATATGTCATCGAAAAAATTAAGTACATTTGGAATGTCTTGTAATGCTGTTTCCATCGTTCTTTGCCAAATAGCTGGAATGTTTGCTGCACCATATTCTGATTAATTTAATTTAAATTAATTCTGATATCCCACAGGTACTGATGCCCTATGATCCGTCTCTATCTCTACTACTAGCAACAGATGCAAGCAACACAGGAATAGGCGCAGTCCTATCTCATCGACCAACCAACGGCAATGAACGACCAATTGCATATGCGAGCCGCACGTTAAGCCAAGTAGAACTCAAATACTCATACTTGGGCGACCCAAAGATTCTTAAAATATTTATACGCTAGGCACTGGACATTAATAACGGATAATAAACCCCTCGCACAAATTTTGCACCCAAGTAAATCACTTCCAACTTTGTGCATCTCTCGAATGGCTAATTATGCAGACTTCATAAGTAATTTTGATTTTGATTCAATTAGGAAAAAATCTAAAGAAAACAGTAATGCAGACTATTTTTCTCGACTACCAATCAAAGCGGGCATTATAAAAGAAATAGAAGACAGTTCTACGCTTCATGAATTAGACAATTTTATTATACGACAAATTAAGCAACTTCCAGTGACAGCCAAGGGAATATCGCAAGAAACAGGAAAGGACCAAAACTTAGGAAAGATTCTGCAACTACTCGAGAATGGTCAGTGTTTGGCCAAGAATAGATATAAAAGCCCAGAATGCATATACGGCCTTTCATATGGCTGCCTTACGTTTGAACACCGAATTGTTATTCCCATGAAATTACGACACACAATTCTGGATGAATCACACAGAGCACACCTAGGTGTAGTAATAATGAAGGGAATCGCTCGATCCTTTGTGTATTGGCCCGGAATAGATAAAGACATAGAAAATTGAGGAAAAGCATGCGAGTCCTGTGCCAAAAATGCTAAACTACCGCCGAAATGCTCCGACCACTACTGGGAATACCCTAAAACCCCATGGGAGCGCATTCATATAGACTATGCGGGGCCAATTCATGGCAAGATGTTATTAATTATTACTGATGCCTACTCAAAATGGTTAGAGGTGAAGGTAACAAAAACAATTACGGCAGGTGCAACGATCGCCATCTTAGACGAATTATTTGCCACTTACGGAGTCCCACTGATGCTAGTTACGGATATTTGAACAAACTACACGTCAAAAGAATTTAAAATCACCTTACATCTGCAGGAATCAGATATCACAAATTAACGGCGCCATATCATCGTGCAACAAACGGACAAGCCGAACGAAATGTGCAAACAGTAAAACAGGCATTAAAAGCAATGAGAACATCTTAGGAAACAATGAGAAGAGACCTGAACGAATTCTTACAACAATACCGAAATGCTCCACACTGCACTATCGGAGACCCTCCGGCAAAATTGTTTTTCGGCAGAAAATTGCGTACCCGACTTAATTTAATCCGTCCAGAAAATGTAACAGAGAAAGTTTCAGCAAAACGAGTCATGAACTTCAACCCTTCTTATAGACAGTTTAATTCTCACGATAAAGTTTACTTTTTATCCGGAAACCTTCGAATAGACAAATGGGTGCAAGGAAAAATTACAAAGCGTCTCGGAGATCTTCATTATGAAATACTATACAACGAAAAATTCTTCAAAAGACATATCAACCAAATGCGGGGTTGCATCTCAAAAGGTACGATAGGATTCATTCGCGAGAGGGAGAGAAAATTACTGGGATACTCTTCCGAAGACAAAGACGCAGTTTCGGGATCTTCAAGTGATACAGCCCACCGAGATATTGACAGTACCACCAATGAAGAAGATAATGATGACATTTTCAGCACTCCAATAACTTCGCGTTTACTGGACCATAGGGATGCACTGGAGCAAACTCAACAAGCACCACAAATGGATTCATCTACACCACAGCACTATGGGAAAAAAGTCGATTTTTTTTGGCATAAAATCAAATTATTTTCAAAAATAAAATATATTTTTTGAATTTACATACCCTAATTAGCCAAGAACCGTTATCTAAGATTTTTTACTAACAACACTATAATGTTGATAAACGAACAAAGTCAGATGTTCGATTGACTTTGTTGTGTGCTTAAATTAGTGAAAAATCTTTGCAAACTTTCATTGTTTATTTTGTGGAGCAACAAATTGATTTATTATTTCTGATTATGGCAAATCGTAGCAAAGGTATTTATGAATGTATCTTAGATTACATGTTTTGATTATTATGACTTGTTGTCCAACTGTGAACTGTTTTATATGTGTATCTTTTTAGCTTAAAACTAACAAGTTTGTTTGTGTTCCGTGGTGTATAACTTATAAATGGCACAACGTTGCAAAAAGGTAAAAACGCAAAGTTATTACCAAATGTATCCCTAATATCGCAAAACTAATCATTTTTGCAACTTTTTGCACGTTTCTTCAAAATTGAACTTTTAAGGTGCTAACCTAGCAATACAAATTTAACACAGCTTGAGAGAAGACATGACACTTGGCTATGCTCGAAAACATTTTTTTCTATAAAAAACGCTAAGAACCAGGTGGACCATGGAAAAAAAGTCTGAAAAACATAAACATATTAACTAAAATCAAAGTTTTATACTTTTTTGTTACAGGCTCTAAAAAAGTGTTCCGCAAAATGCAAAAAAATCTATATAATTATTAAAAAAAAAGTTAGGACAACGAACTTTTTTTTAAATTGTTTTGTTTAACAATTTTATTCCAAAAATAAAAAAAATTTTTTATTATTCTTTTAATATTTTCATTATATTATTCATTAAAAAAAATTTTTTAAATCTTAAAAAATGGGCGAGGCCACACCCCATTTTCTTAAAATACATTCCTTATTTTATTATTAACTGGAATCAAAAAACAGATCAATAAAATGTTGATTAGTTCTCAAGTTATTAATTAATGCCAAAAAAATCGACTTTTTTCCCATAGTGCACAGGTGGAGGTGGACACAAACCAACCCTACGACGATCATCCCGCATACGACAACCAGAATTATATTCTCATCATCACCCTAAGAGGGAGAAGTAATGTTATGTATAATATTAAGTTAAAGGAATCACATTAATGAATAGTCGATAGTTTTAGTTTGCAATAGTTATCGTTTTGAAAATACTTCCCTA